CGAACCGTAACATATAATTTATGTCGACCTTGCAGTATCGAGAATAGTAACAATGTTAGCAAAAAGAAGACTTCTTCATCTGAATTGAATTCCACCGCACGATTTGAATAATTGACCCTTTCCTCTCTCGCTCTGGGCTTCGTTATTACCTGCTCGTTATTACCTGCATGTAAAATATTGACTTGCTTCAGTAGCTTCTGATTAATTTTTTACTGTTTTTATTAAATCGATAAATTGGCATCTTTACTCGCCGTTGACAGAGATGAAGTACATTGTGAATTAAATACAATGTGAAGTAAAGTATGTAGATGTATAGAAGTATTATTTGAAGCAGGGAAATAACAATTTTATAGAAAGCTTGTTAAGGGATAATAAAATGATTTTTAAAATATAACAAATTTATATAGATTTCTGCACCACTTTGATAATTACAGTCCTTTGCCGGACAAACTGAAACACAAATTGCTGTACTCATTAACCTTCCGATTTCTTTAATAAACATAAATTCGATTTTTTAATTTACCATAAATTAAAAAACACTATTCTCCGTCAATTGACAAGAAGAAGATAATATTCATCAATATGTACAAGGACGGAAGGGAACAATATTAAGGAATCACGGGAAGGAAGAAAAATCTACACAACCATTATGACAATGGAATTTATTACAAAATTGCTTTCGAGAATGTGACAGATGGTTGCACAGCGCTACGCATAATAATCCATAGCATACATTAGCTACGACATACGCCTAACCGTAATTAGAGTCTTTAATCATAAAACGATATCACTCGTAACATACCGGAATACTTTAAAATAGGGACAATGAAACGCACACTTAGCCTAAGAGAATGAGCAACATTCGAACATTCGACGCGTTCGATCGACACGCGGTTCTCGATCTCTCGGGATCTCCCCGAGATCCAGGGACGCGTCGATTCCCCTTTCCTTTCTTCGCAATTGAAGGAAAAAGGGGGCTCGAGCGAGCGGCGGTCGAGGGAACGACCGGTGACCGTATAATTTAAGGTGAGTACGCGCGTGATACGTTACTTTTAAAATGGCAGGAGGAACTATCTCAAAGATTGAGGTAATGAGGAAGAATGAGCTATTTAACTCTAAATAAAATAGTGTTAACCGTCTTAATATCTAAAAGGTTCGCCCACGAACGTATGGACATGGTCTCGTCGAGTGAGATACTTTTCCCTTTCCTCTCACGTGGAAAACAATCTTAAAAACGCTAGGGAAACTTAAACGGTTAGGCCGCGCAGATACGCTGCCGTGACAAGTCAGCGTGTCCATCGCAGCGGCGGAGCCTTCTAGGCAACACGAAGTTTGCCTGGAGGAATTTTAATTAATTTAGCTCGTCCCGATCGGCGAGGCCCAGGCAGCTGCGACTTCCCGGTACGCTTTTTCATCACAGAAGCGTCGCCGCGACGAAAGCACGCGACATACACACTCAGTCGATTCTTTTGGATCTTGTGTTGCCTCCTTCGCCGTCATTTTTCTTCTCTTTTGTTCAATTTTGTTCACCTTGAGCTTACTCATAATTTCTGCAATTTCTTTTGGAACATGGTTGTCAGAAGTTTTATTAAACGATTGAGATATTCTTGATTACGTTGGTTACTTTTCTGTAATGTTGTATTTATTAATCGAAACGGAATGATATTTGTAAAATGATTGAAATATGATTCATTCCAGTTGCACGCAACACCTGTGCTCATTGGTACGTGAAGAATAATGGCGAAACGGAAGTACAAAACGCGTTCGCATACATACTCGTTCATCGTCATGAGAATTTCAAATTATTTCTGGAAATGCTTTAATGGTTGTTCCTATTTTTATGGAGCATTGTTTGTCGTATTAGAAAGTGGTTCGAAAGGATGTTCATGCCGAATGAATGGGGAAACTGAAGGAATACGAAACACTCGCAAACAGTGAGATTTCGTTTAACATTTAACGGTATCATAAATACAGATTGATAAAAAAAGGGGAGTGCAGAATTTTCGAGAAACAATTAAATAAGTAAAAGAAAAAGCGTATAATTATAATAACAATATCATTAAGAATTAGAATAATCAGTATCTTAGAACTGACTGATAAACAAGACGTTGTGTCTTCACCTTGCAAAGTGGTTCACACTTGTAGTAGTCCACCATTTTTGATTTTCCAATATATCCATAATTATATGCTGATATAATACTATCTAGAACCAATAAAATAAATAAATTAATTTTCCTCCTTCCACAATTGAATAGAACAATTTTCTCCAGATACAAACGGTGCTCTCCAAACACTTCACCCTTTGTGAATAAATCCATCAAAGAACAGCAGAAGAAATTACAAAATCTCTTACAACAGTTAATTTACATACATATTTCACAAGTTTGATCATCACAAACATTCGTTTCATCCGAAATTTATACAGAAACATGTAATTTCATAGAAGATTTCATAGAATTTCAAATAGAATCAAAAATGGCGGACGATACTCATCGCGGCCAATAGGGTATACGCCACAATGCTGGCGAATAGGCCAGCAATTAACAGGATCACAAAAATTACGCAACGAGACACGGAGCTCAAGAATCGAGGATCAGTTCCCGGCGCGTCCGCTAGACGAATGGGGAAAAGAAATGTTCCTCGATGCGGTTCGAGCGGGCGTCCGCTGACGCGATCCTCAAAGGCCATCGGGTAGCACACAAAAGTTCGTAATTTCGCTACCCAAGGGAGTAACTTTCATTTGTCAAGTTTCGCAATGGCCGGGCATCGGTTCGGATTCACCGGGTCCCGCGCGATCGAATCGTCCGGCGACCTTTCCGTCCCCGGTGCTAGGACAGAAATGGACGAATGCACTTCGACGCCCGACACGCGAGCTTCCTTAGATCCTAGAGGGCCGGTTCTTAAAATTAATTCGTTGAGGCAGTTTTGCTTGTGGCAAGAGCGGAAGTGTTCAGTCGTTTCCGTTCACGTCGATGACGGTCTCCGCACCGATTCAACGTTGTTCCTCGTCAAACTCCCAACAAGTCTCTTGGAATCCTTAGAAAATACCCCTTTAGACTTTCGTTTTCCAAGATGTGACACTACAGATCGAAACTTCTGTAATAAATATGAAACGTGTACAGATAAGGATTCAGAATTTTTTAGCACACTGTGATAATGATGATTTCTTAAATAAAGTTCAGTTCATTTTTGACAAATGATAAATCAATCAACGATTGCCGAATAAGTACTATGCTTATAATAACGTTATTTATTTCTATTGTAAAATTGTTTAGGAAAAATTCAATAATACAGGTTTGAAAAATGAAAAGAAACATAACTGATATTTTGGTAAAGGACATTTATGCATTATTTTCAAGATAATATGTTTATATGAATCAATATATTATTTACTAGAAAATGATTTATGCGTAAGTATGTATGCTTAAAAATTCTGAACCATGTTCGTTGAACATCTCGCAACGATAGTGTCGGAGTTCCGTTCAGAATCGTGATCCACTTTGCGTGCAGAAGAACTCGCTCAAAAGTTCGCCGTCAGTTTCCTCGTAGATCGTTGATGAATAATCCTTAATTTCGTATTCTTTATATTTTCAACCTCTCTAATGAAAGACTCGATCGCGAAGCCTGCGGTGGATCACTGTGACCTTTACCAGACCTTAGAAACGACAGAGTGACGACTAATCGAAGATTAGCGTCGGCATTAACGTGCTCAACCTACCTGCGATGCTTAGGTACGCCGTGTTCGCGTTAAAATCGTTTCCTTCCTGTTTGATTGACATGGAAAAGCGGCCTATATTTTATCGTATTCTAAACACGTTAAGTATCCTAAGTGCAGGGTGAGCCACGTAATTATACAGACTAAGGTACTGCCTTTATTTGTTCTAATTAAATAAAATATTTCAATACAAAAAATATCAATATTCTATATTAAAATTGTGGCTACATACCTAATGGACACTTGATATATCCAGACATTTATTTCCAGTATATAATTAAAGTGAAAAAGCTAAATGTATTTGAAAACTGCAAAACATTTTTACAGCACTCGTTCATTTTTTTAATTGGCAATACAATAAATTAATATGTTTCGATGAAGATATTAAATTATTTAGAAGAATTGCTTTACGGAAATATTTTACTCAAATCTCACAAATTAAAGACAGCACCTCGACTTATCTTCATCATAGTCTATACTCAATTGATCCTTAAATCGCAATTACAAACCACCACCCAACGAATACTATGTTCACAAAAAATCGCTTCGCATTGATTCGTCACGTTACACATTTCCGGATCCAGGTTGGTCATCCGATCGACAGTCGCGAGAGGTTCCTTAGATCCTAAACGGTCGGTCCTTAAAATTACTTTCTGAGGCAGTTG